AAATACATGTGTTAACTCAGTTAATCCTTTAGAAACTCTATGATGTGTAGTTGCTATAATTATCATCGTTTTACAGAAGAGAAACTGAGGCCTAGTGAGATTGCATAATTTGCTCAGCATCAAAATGCAGAGGAAGTGGGAATGGCTTTTTACTTCTGGAACCTTGGTTCTGGATCCTGTGCCCTTTAATCCCAACACTGAATAATTTCCTAGGAGTTAGAAACAAACACTAAACAAAACTGTGTTGTTTGAACAAGTGGTACCAAAATGGAGTAATGTTTTGTGCATAATTTTATTAGAATTAATAAAATTACATTTTTTTGTTGCTTTTATTCTTTTGAAGACCCAGTTTTATAACTGCAACCATAAAGTCGAAAAAATAGTCCTGGATTTCAAATTGCTACATGATAGCTTATCTCAGCAAAGTGAGGTTTTACATTTGTTTGATGTTAGAAATCTCATAGGTAAAGTAAGAATATGAAGTTCTATGTGTTAAAATGATACAAAAATAAATACTCCCATGCTATCCAACCACTTTTCAAAAAATGAGTTGTGTCTCTTGCACTCTGCACTAATTTAATACCCACTGTTCACTTAGTCATCATATATTATAAAAATTTTATTAGTTCATATATTGTCTAAGAAATACCCTAAATAGATTTTTTTTAATTAGAGACTCACAAAATATATATGGAAAGTTATCACTGACTAAAAATGATGATATCATGTATACTTAAAAGTTTTGAGATTTACAGTAAAAAAAAATCTCTTTAAGTGGATAAAATAGTCTTAATATTTTCAAAACTCCTACTAGAAGGAACAATGTATTCTTATCTTTATAGTAATTTCAGTGTAAGTCAATTTTATTTTACTTGAGTTTGCCCACATTAATAATAAAAACATTCAAAAGATATTTTTTCAAGTATAAAATATCACCTTTAGTTTTACTCTGAAAAGTAATATAAACTATTATTAAACCCTGAAAATACTGAAAAATATTGATGATTACTTATATGAATTTTTAAAAATTTAAAAACATATATGCTTACACCTTAATTTTTTTGTTTGCTGTAATAGATAGATCAGATTCAGATTCATCAGCAAATTGAACTTACAGATGGTAAGTATTCATTGTATTCATTATATTTCTAGAAAGAAGGGATGTTTATGTACATAAAGGCACATCACCACAACACCAATATAACACTTTAAGTGATGTGTTAAACCTGGTGATTTACAATTGTCTCTCTCTGTGATAATGAATTGATGAGGATTATCAGTAGCTCATTTCTGGAAATTAGGAGTTGAGTGGTAAAATACTATTACTCTAGTAACTGTCTTCAAGTTAAAAACCCCAACTCAGAAGGAAACAATCAAATTTACTTTTGTTCCCTTTTTTCTCTAGAAATCACTTGAGGGAATCTATCACATTACCTGATTTCTATACTGCAGCTATTTTCTCCCAGTTT